CTCACCTTTAGTACCTGTTATATGAGATTGTCAAGTATGGGATGCCTCTTAAATTACACTTGAAGAATTAACACTCACAGTCCCAAATCCTACCTTTAAGAATTTATCCCAGTTACCTGGGAGGCTGAAGTGGGAGAATCACATGAGTCCGGGAGGTTGAGGCTGCAGTGAGCTGAGATCATGCCACTGCACTCCAGCCTGGGCAACAGAGTGAGACCCTGTCTCAAAAAAAAATAAAAGGCCGGGCGCGGTGGCGGGCACCTGTAGTCCCAGCTACTCAGGAGGCTGAGGCAGGAGAATGGTGTGAACCTGGGAGGCGGAGCTTGCAGTGAGCCGAGATCGCGCCACTGTACTCCAGCCTGGGCGACAGAGCGAGACTCCGTCTCAAAAAAAAAAAAAAAAAAAAAATTTTACCCCAAACATTTGAGACAATATAGTGTAGTGACTTAGAGTGCACACTTTGGCGTTAGACTTCTTGGGTTGGGATTCCAGCTTTTCCACTCCTAGCTGTGTGATCTTGGGAACATTCTTTATCCTCTTATGTCTTATTTTTTATCTGGAAAAATTGAGATAATAATTGTACCACCCTCATAAAATCGTAAGGACTAAATGAGTTAACACATGTGAAGTGCTTAGCATAGTGGCTGATACATTGTATATGTAAGCTGTTATGTATATATATGTTGCCTATATATGTCCACTGTTATTAACTTCTCTGTGCCAGGCTTATGTTCTGTGATAATACAGAGAGATAAATGGGACACAGCCTCTTCTCTCCATGGCGATCGTCAACCTTTAGTCACCTGCTTTATCATGCACGATTGTCAAAGTACTGGCGGATGCCTCTTAGAATTCACACCTTGAAGAAATCTAAAACCGACGTCCCATCCAAACTCCTACCCTTCTAGAATTTATACCAGTTACCCTGGGACGGCGCTTGAAAACGTGGGCAGAGATCCACATGAAGTCGGCGAGGTTGAGGCTCAGTGAAGCTGAGATCATGCCACTGCACTCCAGCCGGGGCAACAGAGTGCGAGAACCCTGCTCCTCAAAAAAAAATAAAGGCGCCGGCGGCCGTGGCCTCAAGCCTGCGGTAATCACCAGCACTCTGCTGGGACAGGGCCACGGGCCGAGACGGGCGGCGCATGCAAACGGCAGTCAGGCGATCCGAAAGACATCCTGGGTAAGACGGTGGAAACCATGCCACTCGCGCCCCGCCCCCCCAGCCCCGTCGCCACCCCCCCTGATTCACAAAAAAATACAAAAAATACCCCGGCGAGGGTGGCGGGTGCCGCCGCGTAGCCCAGCTTACCCCCGCGAGGCTGCGAGCGCACCCGGAGAAATGGCATGGCGTAACCGCAGGCGGAGCGTGCAGTGAGCTGCAGATCCGGGACCACTGCACTCCAACCCGGTCGCGACAGAGCGAGAAACCTCCATCTCCAAAAAAAAAAATAAATAAATACAAATAAAAAAGGATACTCTGGCTTTTCTGGTTTTGTTTTTCGAGGTGGAGTCCTTACTTTGTCCACCCCGCCCCACGGCTGGAGTGGTCAGCTGGTGGTGATCCTCAGCCTCACTGCAACCCTCCTCCACCTTCCCGGTTCAGTGATGTGCTCCTGCCTCCACCTTCCAAGTAGCTGGGACTCACAGGCACACCGCACACGCACGCCCGCCCCTGCCAGTTTTTGCTTTCACTTTTTTTACGTAGAGACAGGGGTTCTCTCCCATGTTGGCCAGCGCTGCGTTCCTGCCACTGCTCTGACCGTCAGGCTGATCCTGCTGGCCTTCGCCCGCTCCCCAAAAGCTGACTGGGATTCACACGGGGCGTGAGCCACCCGCCCGCCCAGCCTTTGCTTCTTTTTTTTAAAGACACAGGTCTTGCTCTGCTCACCCAGGCTGGTAGTACAGTGAGTGTGACACAGTACAGTGGAGTATATAGTACATAACTTACTGCAGCCTCAAACTCCTGGCCTTAAATGATTTTTCTGCCTCAGCCTCCCAAGTAACTGGGACTATAGGCAGGTGTTGCCACGCTGGGCTTTCTTATTTTTTATAGAGACCTGGGTCTTGATATGTTCCCCAGGCTGGCCTTGAACTTCTGGGCTTAAGCAGTCCTTCCTGCTTGGCCTTCCAAAGTGCTGAGATTATAAGTATGAGCCACGGTGCCCAGCCTAGGTCCTGTTTTTTCAATCTTCTCTTCCTACTCTTATAGAAGAGCCATGCTCACTTCTTCAGTCAGTCCAGAGTCACTGTACTGGGTGACATCAATATTCAGTGGTCCGTAGTGTTCTTTCCCAATGGGCTTAAGTCTTTGTTCTCTCTTACAAGGTTATATCTGATTATATCTGGTGATATAATCTTGCTAAAGTCAAACATTTTCATTTATATGTCTGAGTGGCAACATCTCCTTAAATCTGAGCAGGCCCTCGGTGTTCCAGCAGCCTGTCATCTTCCTGGGAGCGGATGTCACACACCCCCCAGCAGGGGATGGGAAGAAGCCTTCCATTGCTGCTGTGGTTGGCAGTATGGATGGCCACCCCAGCCGGTATTGTGCCACCGTTCGGGTGCAGACTTCCCGGCAGGAGATCTCCCAAGAGCTCCTCTACAGTCAAGAGGTCATCCAGGACCTGACTAACATGGTTCGAGAGCTGCTGATTCAGTTCTACAAATCCACACGCTTCAAACCCACTCGGATCATCTATTACCGTGGAGGGGTATCTGAGGGACAAATGAAGCAGGTACTCTTATTATCCCTATTGCCCTTCGGGACCCCTAGAAGTCTGAGGGAGATGCCTCTCATCTGCCATTCTGAGTAGATCTGAGAGATACTAGGCAAATTCTCAATTAAACATAATTCCATTTCTGTCTTCTAGGTAGCTTGGCCAGAACTAATAGCAATTCGAAAGGCATGTATTAGCTTGGAAGAAGATTACCGGCCAGGAATAACATATATTGTGGTGCAAAAAAGACATCACACACGACTCTTCTGTGCAGATAAAACAGAAAGGGTAAGAAGATATAGTATAAGCTTTGTTATCTGAGGCTCTGGAAAGTGATTATATATATACTTATATATGCCATTTTAATACAATTTTTTTTCTTAAAAGCAGAAATGCCTGATAATAATTTAATAAATATAATAACTGCAGTTGGGTTTAGATGACCAATTCTGAATGATACGAGTTTTGAGACTGAATATTTTATTTCTCTTGTATAACAGAAATGCTGATTTATCGAGTTGTTTTTGTGTGGGGAGCCGTAGGTCAGAAACATGCCAGGTACATTGTGATGATATAGGCAACCTTCTAAGGGGTGGTTTTATTGTTACTTTTTGCTGCACAGTTCTAGGGTATAAAGAAGCATTTATCTTCCAAATAATTTTATATCAGCATAGGACAACCCCCAGACTGTGGACTGGTAACAGTCTGTGGCCTGTTAGGAACCAGGCTGTACAGCAGAAGGTAAGCAGTGGGTGAATGAGCATTACCACCTGAGCTCTGCCTCCTGTCAGATCAGCAGTGGTGGAACAGTTTCATCCCAAACCATCTCCCCCTACTCCCCCACCCCATCTATGTAAAAATTGTCTTCCATGCAACGTGTCCCTGCTGCCAAAAAGCTTGAGGACTGCTGGCATAGGAGATTGTTAGGGCACAAACTTTGAATATTTATAGTGTCACACTTAAACCGCAGTCAAATTACTCAACTTCTCTAAGCCATATGTTCTCATCTGTCAAATGTGGTTAAGAACAATATCCAGGCCGGGTGTGGTGGCTCACGCCTGTAATCCCAGCACTTTGGAAGGCCAAGGCAGGTGGATCACGAGGTCAGGAGATCGTCGAGACCAGTGCCTGGTAACGTGCGGTTGAGAAATTGTCTGCGTTACGTACAAATACAAAAAATTAGGCCGGGCGTCGGTGGTGGCGCCCTTATAGTCCCAGCGTACTCGGGAGGCTGAGGCAGCGAGAATGGCATTAACCCGGGAGGCAGAGCTTGCAGGAGCTGAGGATCGGGGCCTGCACTCCAGCCTGGGGTCGACAGAGCGAGAGACTCGTCCTCAAAAAAAAGAAAAAAGAAAACAGAACAATATCTGGCAGGGTGCTGTGCTTCACACTGGTAAGCCCAGCACTTCGTGGAACTGAGTGGTGGATCACTTGAGGTCGCAAGGAGTTCAGAGGGCCAGCCTGCGCCAACATGGCAAAACCCCGTCTTTAATAAAAAATACAGAAAATATTGTTGGGCATGGAATTGGTGTATGGCTGTAGATCCCAGGTAACTCGGGAGGCTGAGGCAGGAGAATCACGTGAACGGCGCGGGAGCAGACCGCT